TTTGAGGGCATCATTTCACCCAACCCTAGACAGTGCATCTTGTTCAGGTCTCAAGAAGCCTGGGTGGAGGTGGAAATGTTGCTTTGAGTGAGGAGACCAGGATTGTAGCACAGAGGCCCCCACCAACTAGTTGTCTAATCCTTAACAAGTTGCTTTGTCTTTCTGGGCTCATTTTTCTCATCTGTCAAGTCAAATGAAGGTTATGGAATAGATGATCTCTAAAAATCCTTCCAGTGCTACAGTTCTATTCTGGGTCTGTCTGCACCTGCAGACAGTGATGTGGGGGCAGGAAGGGCACCAGGGAGGGCGGCAAATTTAGTCAAGAGAATAAAACACTTTCACCTGGAGCAGCCTTGTGTCCTTGTGTGTGTTGTGCAGCACAGGCTTGTCTCATATTATCCAAATAATTGACTGAGTTCTCTTCTTTCTTTGCCAGTGAGCACACAGCTTTAGTTTTTTCTGGGACTAGCAGCTGCTTTTCTGAAATTTCCATCCCAGGGCTTCCGTCCTCCACTGTGTCCTCTCAGAAACCTGTCATGGTTTTTCTGGATGGATGCCCACAGAATTTTAATCCACACACACACACACACACACACACACACACACACACAGAGAGAGAGAGAGAGAGAGAGAGAGAGAGAGAGAGAGAGAGAGAGAAGAAACAAATAATGGAAGGAAGGAAGTAGAAAAAAAATATCATTTATAACAATAAGCAAAACCAGGTCACGAGCTGACTTTCTTTTTTAATTTGGCTACTTCATTTGTGCTGCCAACCTGAAGCCATGACTAAAGCCAGTGAGTTCTCTTAATTATTGGGTTTGTCTATGATGATGCAGAGATGAGGCCTATATGCTTTAGGGGCTAACTGGGTCCTGCCACCTCCAGACTCTTGGTAAATGTCTGAATAATTAAATTAGTTGTTTCCCCACAATATCCCATTTTCTTTTCTTTCCTTTCTTTCTCTTTCTTTCTGTCTTTTTCTTGAGATGGAGTCTCACTCTGTCCCTCAGGCTGGGTACAATGGTGCTATCTCAGCTCACTGTAACCTCTGCTTTCAGGGTTCAAGTGATTCTCCTGCTTCAGGCTCCTAAGTAGCTGGGATTACAGGTGCGCACCACCATGCTTGGTTAATTTTTATATTTTTAGTAGAGACAGGATTTCACCATGTTGGCCAGGATGGTCTCCATCTCTTGACCTCATGATACGTCCATGTCAGCCTCCCAAAGTGCTGGGATTACAGTCATGAGCCACCAACCCATGCCCAGCCAAAATATTCCATTTTCTACCTTTCCTCAATAAGCATTTGCATTTCCAGTAAGGAGAGAGGGTTGGAAGTCCCTGCCCTTAGAAAGCATAGTGGAGTCACCCAAGTTTAAAAGGTGAAGTTGTCTAACTTAATTTGTGAAAGACCCTTTGGCGAGCTAGCTAGAAATGCAAATTCCTGGACACCGCTCTCATCCAATCATTCAGTAAGTTTCAAACCCAGGAAATGAATTTTTACTCACCTCCAATCAGTTAGTAGAAGAGTGATGAACTCCTAAGAAATGCTCATGGCCAGAAATAAATACATTATCACAATAAGGATTTCATGATTCCATTTCTACTTCATGTTGTTTAGATAAAATTCATGAAAACTGATGCCCAATAATTAGGATTCCTGGCATTAACCTGAGGGTCATTGCTCTGTGTCTTTTTGATACACACTGTGATCACCTGAAGATTTGGAAAATTCAAAGCAAGTATGAGTTTGGAACTAAAAATGGGGCAGTGTCTTGTGGGGTAGCAAAGTAGAGCATGAATAGCTTTAAAGTCAAGCAGAAGTGAATTCAAATTCTGCACATACCAGTGTGTGTCACAGGCAAGTTATTGAGCCTCTCTCTGAGTCTCCATTCTTTCACCTATGAAACTGGAATATTACCACTTCTCTGAAGGAGGAGTTAAAATTAAATGAGTTTATGCATCCGATAAGTGAATGCTTCATAAATACTTCTCCTGGACGTGGCGGCTCACGTCTGTGCTCCCAGCTACTCAGGAGGCTGAGGTGGGAGGATCGCTTGAGCCCAGGAATTCGAGACTACAGTGAGCTATAATGGTGCCACTGCATTCCAGCCTGGGCGACAGAGCGAGAGCCTGTCTCAAAAATAAGTAGGGTTAATAAATTTAAAAAACAAATAAATAGTTCCCACTTACAACAAAATATGCCACAAGAAGGGAGAGGGCAGGGATTTCCGAGGGCCAACTTAAAATTTGCATTTGGGATTTGGCTACAGTTCGGGCGTTCCCTGTGGTGCCCAGTGAAAGCGGCTGCGGACCTCCCAGCGCCGCCATTGCCCACAGGGCGTGTCATTTCTAAGGGCAGCAGTTTGCTCCCTGGCTGCCCCGCCCCGCCCTCCAGCTCCCCCGTGTACCTAAAAGAAAATGTAATGGTTGGGCCATTTTTATTTTTAAAAAGACTTCCTTCCAGGCCTTTGACCTGGCGCCGCAGGTGTCCCCGTTGGTTTCCCAGGCCGCCGCGGCCTTCACCGACAGGAGGTGGCCGTGGAGAGCGGTGCGGCCCGGAATCCAAAGCCATCCGGAGGTGGTCCCTTTTGGGCTGAGGCTGCGGTTTGGGACTTCCGCCGCCCGTAGGGCTCCTAAAGGGCGGAGGAGTGCCTCGAATCTCCCTGCGCACCCGACCCGGCGCTGTCCAAGAGTCTGACCCCCCAACCCCGCCGGGGTGGGTGGCAAGGAAGGGCCAGTGTGACGGGGGTTTCGGTCGCACCCCCACCCTGCCCAAGGAGGCCCCAGGGCCGAGCTCTGCAGGGAAACAAAGGCCCCATCCGCTGCCGGGACCCCATCCGGAGTACCCGAATTCCAGAGAGCCGCACCCGTGACGCGGTAGTGGGAGTCAGGGCTCGAAGGCAGCACCCCCGACGGCTTGGCCGCGTGGAAGCGAAGCCCTCGGTACTTCGAGGCGCCAGTCTGGGCTTTTGAGCGTTACGGGAGGTAACCGGAGAGTTCGCCGAATTTTAACGCAATCCCACTCTACATCTTCAGAGCAGAGTGTCCGTAAAGACCCTTACCCCTCTTAGCCCATTCTGCTCTCACCCGCCCCACGAACCCGCCGGAGCGGAGCGGGCAATCAAAGGCACTTTCCCCTGACGCCCAGTCGGCGTCGGGCTTCGAGGGCAGCGTGCGCATCGAAGCCGGGCTGAGGGGTTATCCGCCCGCTGGGCACCCCGAAAACCCGCCTCCCTGCGAAGAGTAGCTCGGGACAGTTCCCGGCTCCGCCCAATCAACTAAAGTAGAAGCCCGAGATCTGCTGGCAGGGCCGGAGATGCCCTCCGGAGCCGGACCAAACCTGGGCTGCAGGGGTGGCTTGGGGGAGAGTGCGAAAGAGCCTACTCAGGGGGCCCCCTCCCAGCTCGGGACGGTGGAGGGGTCCTGCGGTGTGGCGTCGGAGGCCGGGGAGGTGGCGGCGGGGCTGGCGGTGCTCCAGTCGCTGCGAGCAAGAGCCCCTCGGGGCCCGCCACACACACTCACCCCTCCCCCTCCCGGCCTGCCTCCCACTCGCTCGCCGAGACCCCCGCCCCCAACCCCCCCTCTTCCCCCCAACTCCTCTCCTTCCCCCCCCCCGCCTCCGCCCCATTCTTGGAATTGTGTGGAAAAATTCTCAGCCAAACCTCCCACCTCTCCTCTCCCCCCACCCACCCCCTTTAAAAAACCCCTTTCCTCCCCGGCCCCTGCACTCTTTGTGAATGAGGGCAGGGAACACGGCCCTTCCCCCGCCCAGGAGCCACGCCAGACCGCCGCACTCAGAGGACTGTTTGTTAATAGTCCAATTAGATAATTGCCATCTTTCACTCCTTTTGCTCCGCATTTCCCATAAAGGAATGAATGGGGAGAGCGGCATGGAGAGGGCTTCTGCCCCGGCAAGGTGACGAGAAGGGCTGGAGCATGCTCCTTGCACAAGGCCATGCGCTTGAATTGAATCATTGTAGCCTAATCAATGCTCTTATTGGATTACTGGCTGTTGCTTTTCTCAAAGATATTGTAGCAGAGACAATGAAATAGCTAGGGGAAAACTTTTTTTTTTTTTTTGAAGCAGATCTCACAGTTGAGATTTCTCGGCCGTCTCTCCCTCTCCCTCTCTCTCTCCTGCTGGACTCTCTTGAGTACAAAGCTGCCCTTTGAATGGGCTGCCTCAGGGCTGCTGGAGGTGCAGGCATGAAAAAATCCAACTGGAACTAAATGAAGAGAGGTGGCAGTTTAAGATGGCTGTCTGCGTGGAGGTGTGTTAAGGAGGAGTTGTTTGGGGGAAAAGCTTGGCTTTTTTAGAGTGCAGGGGAGATACTTTTTGGGAAAACTTTATCTCCCCCCCCTTTCTTCCCCACCCCCAGGCAACTGCTTTCCTCTGCTGCGGGTGTGTAAGGGTGTTTTTTTTTTTTTTCCTCTCCCCCTCCCACCCCTCATTCAGCTCTATCTGGCGAGTGTGGAGAAAACCCCTCTAGCCAGTATGTGAGCAGGAGGGTCAAAGGCAAAAGGAAAGTTAATAATGCCTGCTAATGGTACTAACAATTCAGGATGAATCTTGTCAAAAGTTTTTCTGGAAGTGTGGGTCTTTGATTGTGTGTTTCCTCAAAGCAAGACCAATCATTTCCGTTTATTCACTGGCTAAACCCCTACTTGATTGGGGACAAGGACAGAAACCATCCATTACGATCTGATATATTATCCAAACAATTTAGTGTATTCATGAGGTAACCGAAACGTGGGGGCTGCGAAATTACCCGTAATCAATTGCAACAGCGAGTGTGCGTCCCCCCGGGTGCAGGACAACTACAACTCGCCGTCTCAGAAACAGGCGGGAGCCGCAGCATTTCGGAGTTGCGCTGTTCGCTACCTGATCGCCAGGCTGGGGACACTGGACGTGCTCAGAGGACGCGGGTGCTGACAAGGCCTCCTCGCCGCAGCTCCATCGGGATCCTGGACCAGACTGGCCGCCTCTCGGCGAGCGAGCCACTCTCCAGTCGCCGCTGACCCGCGCGCCGCCGCCGAAGCCGCCCCGCGGGGACATTCATTCTTGCCGCTTGCCGGTCGCCGGGCTGGGCGTACGGGCCGCGTTGTCGGGGGTTTTGTCCCCTTTTTCCGCTTCTTTTTTTCTCCTTTTTTTTTTTTTTTTTTTTTTTTTTTTTTTTTGGCTTTTTTCCCCCCTTTCTGTTGTTGTTGTTCTTGCCTATGTTCGGGAAACCAGACAAAATGGACGTTCGATGCCACTCGGACGCCGAGGCTGCCCGGGTCTCGAAAAACGCGCACAAGGAGAGTCGGGAGAGCAAGAGCGCGGAGGGGAACCTCCCAGCCGCCTTCCTCAAGGAGCCGCAGGGCGCCTTCTCTGCGTCCGGCGCTGCTGAGGATTGTAACAAAAGTAAATCCAATTCCGCAGCCGACCCGGATTACTGCCGCCGGATCCTGGTCCGAGGTAGGAATGGGCAGGGCTGGCGGGCGTGTTCTTTGGGGTCGAGTCCTCGGCCCGAGCTGCGCGCTGCCGCCGACTCAGGCCGATGGGGAGGAGTGCCAGCTGGGACTTGGGAGAAAGTTGTTGGCCCTCCCCGCCCCGGGTCCGGCTGGGGAGAGGCTCCCGGGACTCCCCGGTGCGCTCTCCAGGGGCCTCGGCCCTCCACACCCTGAGGGGCCCTGCGGACCGGGCTCCTGGGGGAGACGAGGGGCTGCGCGGGTGCAGCCGGCATCGGACTGCGGCCTCTGACCCGGGAAAGGAGCTGAAAATTCCCGGAGAAGATGTGCGCGCTCCATGGGCCGGAGGATCTGCCGGGAACCGGCCAGGGGACTCCCGCGCTCTGGAGGGCTGAGCACACCCAAGGGGGAGCGCGAGTCCCGGAGAACAGCCGCCGATCGCGGGCTACGGCCCTGCCAGTTAGCGCACTGGGCCGAGGGCCCGAGCGACGCGATCGGTGCCTGACCGCTGCCACCAGGAGAGGCAGCTGGGCTGGGTTGCGGAGCCGCCGTTGCGGCTTTGGTGCTCGGCTCGGCAGCTCTCGGATGCGCGGCGTGCGTTTAGCTCGGGCGGCTGAGGTTGCGAGGCCCGGCCCCGGCCCAGCGCCGCCCCAGCAAGCAGATCGCCGGGCCCCACCGGCCCCGACTCAGTCCCTCCTCCTTCCGCCACGCGGACTCCGGAGGGAAGGAGACCCGGGGGTGGGGGTGGGGGTGGGGACGGCTGGAGCACGGTCAACGTGCCCTGAGCTGGGGCCAGCAGAACCCGGGCTGGGAGGCGAGTGTACCCTCAGGCTACAGGGGACGGGGACAGCGCAGCCGAGGCCCCCCAGGCCGGAAGGAACCTCAGCCTATTTGGAATTGATTGGATTTTTTTTCTTTCCCGTCTGAAGGGCTCTGCAAAAAGACAAAGTGTGGTCCCTCCTTCCGCCAGCGGTATGGAGTTAGTCCCCTTGCCCTCCACACAGTGTCTTTGCTACCTGGTTGTGGTCGCGCTCCGCTCCCCACTTCCCCAAAACTGCACGCTTCTGGGGACTCTGTCCCCAAAGCCAGCTGGGACCAAGGAGGTGGAGGGAGACGGGAGGGTTCTGGCGGCTGACATCTCCCTTCCCCAGATGCCAAGGGGTCCATCCGAGAGATCATCCTGCCCAAGGGCCTGGACCTGGACCGGCCTAAGAGGACGCGCACGTCCTTCACCGCGGAGCAGCTCTATCGGCTGGAGATGGAGTTCCAGCGCTGCCAGTACGTGGTGGGCCGCGAGAGGACCGAGCTCGCCCGGCAGCTCAACCTCTCCGAGACCCAGGTACCCCGCGGCCAGGCCGCACACAGTTCTGCACCAGCCTACCTCCCCACCACCCCTGCCTAGCCTGCTCTTCACCACATAACCTGCTCTGGACAGAGCTCCCCTTGGGAGGTGGAGGAGATGGGAAGGATGGGTAAGAAAGGCCTAAGGCTTCCTTCCCCTAAATAATACATCCCTTCCCCCCACCCTTCCTGCCATCCCCAAATCTTCCAGGGCCCATGTTTTATCCACTTTGGCATAGGCCTAGGAGGCCCCAGATCCTATCCTTTCGGAATTCTTATTGGTCTCTGGTTTTGAACATTTCTTTCTTGCTTCTGCTCCACAAAGAACTGACTTTTGTCCTTGTTTGAGGTACCCCATTTTGGCTAGATTTCTAGGCCCCACCCCTTGTGGGCCCACCCAGCTGTACACAGCATCCAGACCCATTCTGCAGGAGTGGGATTAGGGCTAACTCCCCCTGCTCCAGCACCATGGGTGACTCCTAGGACTTAGAAAGGTGTACACTCTCCTGGAGACCTGCCTGTGCAGATCAGGCTGCCCAGACCACTAAAGGAAGGCTTTTCCCGTCCTGAGCTGGCCCCAGCCCTGAGCACCTAGGAAATCCTGTCTTCTGTACCAGTGATGTGTGAGGTATCTGATGGGAAGCAGATCTAGGACCGGAAGCCAGTACTGTTGATTATGCTTTAGATCTTTCCCTTTACATTAAATCCATATGCTGCCTCAGGAGCTGGCCATGTGGGCTCTGTGCCCAGGAGAGGGCCCAAGAACTTGCCAAGTGCCATGCCACCAGCTTGGCCTAGCTAAGGCAACCTTCTTTCTGAAGATCAATCCCTTTTCCCATGCCCAACCTTGAAGCAGGTGGAAAGCATTTTGGGTCTGGGATCTGGGCCGAAAGCTGAGTCCTGATAAAACAGATGGGGTGTTCTTTTTGAGTCTTGAGTTGGTGTGGTAGCTTTTCGTATTCCCTCTGCTACTACCCCTCTTAGTTTATAAAATCTAGGCAGGATAGTCTTTCCCTATCGCTGCAAAACTCTTCCAGGCCACTGCTAGGCCTGAAGAGAGGCAGAAGAGCAAAAGGGGAGGTTAGTGGGGAGTATTTAGTCCACCGTAGCCTCCCGACTTCCTCCCATGATTCCAAGTTCATGACCCAGAGCAGTGGAGTGGTAAATTAAGATTATCACTCAGACCCTTCAATGAAGCTATCTGTTGAGAGGAGGTGCAGAGAGCTCAGTCTATATAAAGTCTCCCGCACACATTATTCTCCTGCAGCCACTTTCCCTGCTTGTTGCTAGTTGATGGTTGTCTTTGTAGCCTTCACCAGGGGTAGTGCTTCTAGGACTAAATCCGAGCCCACTGGGCCAAGGACCTGGGTCCAAAAAAGGCTGGGCAACACTCCCTCCCCGCCTCTCTTCCCACTTCCCTCTTCCTTCTGCGCTCTTCCTTCACCGCACCCATCGGGCCTCATACCCTCCACCGGAAATTCCGGCTTTGGGGCCACACTGATTCAGAGATTTGTGAGCCCCAAACCCGGCTGCGGGGTAGCCCGGGAGCCCAGTGAAACTCTTTCCGGTCTTCCTTAGAGTTCCCGCCGTGGGTATTTTATTACTTTGTTCTGTGTTAGCGGCGCCGGCCTGGGCCTGCTTTCCTGACCCGGAAGCGCAGCCCGGTGGAACAGCTGTGTCCCCCTCGTGGCGGCGCCAGCTCCCCCAGCAGCGCCGGTGCCCTGATCCCGCAGGCTGCTAGGTGGGGCTGCGGGTAGGGCTGGGGCGTGGGGAGGGCCCTGGAGCTGCGCGCCCCAGGAGCTCGCTTCGGTTGACGCTGGTCTTCCCTGCCCCTCTCTCCCACTCTCCCCGCGCCCCGTCGCGCAGGTGAAGGTCTGGTTCCAGAACCGCCGCACCAAGCAGAAGAAGGACCAGGGCAAGGACTCGGAGCTGCGCTCGGTGGTGTCGGAGACAGCGGCCACGTGCAGCGTGCTACGGCTGCTGGAGCAGGGCCGTCTGCTGTCGCCGCCCGGCCTGCCCACGCTGCTGCCGCCTTGCGCCACGGGCGCTCTCGGTTCCGCGCTGCGCGGGCCCAGCCTACCCGCCCTGGGCGCGGGCGCCGCCGCCGGCTCGGCAGCCGCAGCCGCAGCCGCCGCCCCGGGCCCAGCGGGCGCCGCGTCCCCGCACCCGCCGGCTGTGGGCGGCGCTCCAGGCCCTGGGCCAGCCGGGCCGGGAGCACTGCACGCAGGCGCCCCGGCCGCGGGCCACAGCATCTTCAGCCTGCCAGTGCCCTCTCTGCTCGGCTCCGTCGCCAGCCGCCTGTCTTCCGCCCCGTTGACAATGGCTGGTTCGCTAGCTGGGAATTTGCAAGAACTCTCCGCCCGATATCTGAGCTCCTCGGCCTTCGAGCCTTACTCCCGGACCAACAATAAAGAAGGGGCCGAGAAAAAAGCGCTGGACTGATTTTAAGTGTTTCCCTGTATTTATATTTATAGTATCTATTGTGGTGATATTTATGGACTCACTCGCGTTAGGTGCCCAGAGCTCCTGCGCTGGGCTCCTGGCTCCCACCAGGCCTCAGACAGCTCTCTTTTCCCACCCGGCTCTGCTACCAATTCCATATCATTTGGGCTATTTTTTTTCTAGCTTTCCTCCGCGATTCCTCCCCAACCCCCAGCTTCCTTCTGAATCCAGGAGAGATCCAAAGAATTGGGGAAAATGCCCGAGTCAGTCAACCTGATGCCCCGACGCCTGCCCAGCCCAGGAAGGAAAAGACTAAGTCCAAAGCACAGGACACTTGCTCTAGATTGGCGGTTGCTGCCGCTGCCGACTATTCCTAGGAATATTTGAAACAGGAAAACTGCGGGCAGATCCTAGGGGCTTGTAGGTTTCTTTAGACCAAAAAAAGAAGACGTTCCTTCCTCTTGCCAGAGAAACCAGGGCTTGTGGGAGCTCCTGAGCCCCGCTTTGCGGACCTCTCGGGCTAGTCGGTACGCTTGCAGTTTCCTGGCGGGACGAATCCTGCCGGTTTTCTTCCCTAAAGAGCAATTCCAATCACAACCCCCGACCCCAGGAAACAGTAACAAACGTCCTGGTAGGCAACGACACTAATAAATTTGATTTAATCAGCAATAAAGGCAATTGCTACGTAAAACCAGATGAAGTGGAACCAGTTTGTAAATACTCGTAATGATGAAGTTTGGAAGGTGTAAGAAAATTCAGGATAGCGAATGCCCCTCAGGGCAATGCAAAATTAGGGTTCTGGGTGTTGTAACTTTAAACAGGAATTTAATGGGGGAAAAGCAAAGGAAAAACCAACGTCGCTAATGAAAGAAAATTCAGAATCATTTCTCCGAGCCTGTTCGGGGCGGTGGCCGACAGCTTCCCACTCCTTCAGGAAAGAGTAAAGCAGGTTCTCGGCGGTAGCCTGGGCGCCGGCGCTTCATCATACGGCCTCCCAGGCTCATAGCTTCGGCCACAATCGCTCGGTTTGGAAAACGAGTCAGCATTCATTGTCTCCTCTCTCAAACTCCCGGATTCACAAAACCCTTCCTGCACACAGGAAACGCTTGGATTTCTGAGCAGTTCTCTGCGGAAGGGGAGGCAGGGACGCCGCTGGGCTGTCGGGCTTCCCCTAGCAGTAGTCTCAGAATCCGGATAGCGTCCCCTGTGATTGATAGGAAAGACACTCCCTTCGCCTCCCCAGTCTTAGGGTTTCAGTGGTCCCAAGTCAGAACCAGGACCGCGACACCCTCTTTCCTTACCCTGCGCAGCAGCGATCGTCCCTACATCCACGGCCACCTACATTTTAACCAAAATCACAGACCCTGACTGCGAGGTGCCGCAGTGAGAATGTATTCGTCCATCTGAAACAAGCGAAAAACATTTTTTTAAAAGTAATTTTATTGTAAATTATTTACGTCGAAAACTCCCCCCACCTCTTTTTCATGCTTTTTTTTTTTTTTTTTTAGGCAAATAGTGAAGAAAAAAATGAACGATTCAAACGCGGGTAGGTGTCACTGAATCCAGGCTACTAACTTTGTTCTGAATGTTCCGGATATTTGGATGTTTTGTATTTATGTGGTGAGAGTGAAATATATATATCTATGATGATAAATGAGGTGTATTTTTGTCTTATATTTGAAGGAGAAAAGAAAAGAAAAGAAAGAGCCAGCAAATGATAAGTCTCGGCGTGGGGACTCCGGGCACAGAGAGGGTGGCAGCCCCCATAGTGCGGGGCCCTGCGACTGGTACCTTGAGCGCCTGGGATGAGATTTGGGGGCGGATTTGGGGTTTGCGGAGAGGCAGTGACGCCTGGCCACGACGATTTGTTCCACTTCCTTGAGTGTTTCACTGTTTCTCTGTCTGTCCCTCTGGTTGTCTGCCCCTCAGACCCTCCTCCTCGATTTCCCCACTGCGTAATTCTTGGTTTATTTAGGAGCTGGTTTCTGGACACTCTAAAGTTCCTGCCTCCTAATGGTTCGTTTCTAGAGTCTTCCAACTGCATCTTCATGCCGGCAGCATTTTGGATTTTGTGCAATCATGGGGCCCAGAATAGGCAGGGTTTTCTTTTATTCTGACTTAGAATGAGGCTCTCCATCGTCAGAGAGAAACTTTGAGGGAGCGGGAGACTGAAATAGGTATTAATTCCTGCAAAGAGACCTCTGGCCCCACCTCATCCCGGTGCTTCTGCGGTGGTGACAGATGTAGACGTTCCAAACAAATCTTGGGAAGCGAGGACGGCCGGGGAGGGCACTTCAGGACAGGCTCTCCTAAAGCATGTGCAGCCCTGGGCTCAGTCCGCGCAGCTGGCGCAGCGGCCCTGGCTCCTTCCTGTAGCGCCCGCACACCTGGGTGTTGCAGGGACCCGCAGCTCCCTCGCGGCACCGGCACTTGCCAGGCCTCACAACCCCTACTCCTGTACTGTGCCTGAAGCTGGAGATGGAGGCATCCAAAATAAGGCGGGGCACAGTGTGGGCGGCAGAGACCCTGAGCTGAGTTTGGGGCCCTCTCCTGGAGCTCGGCTTTTTGCTGAGATCACAGCAGCCGCCCACAGACAGCTCACTGCTGTTTCGAAAAGTCGCTGCAGATCCCTCAGCTTCGCTACGCTTGGCTCTTCCCCTCCCTGTCCGCTTCTCTTTCCGTTCTCTTGCTTGAAATTGCTTTTCCTTTTCTGCTCTTTTCTTCGTTCCTGTCCTGTAAATCCCTGCGTTTCCTCTAAGGATTTCTCTCTCAGTGGTGTGGGCTCCTCTCTCCTTCCCACTGTCTCTCCCTCCTCCATTACTTCTTCCTTCCAGGTTGCTCTCTCGCTCGCTCTCTCTCTCTCTCTCTCTCTCTCCCTCCCTCCCTCTCTCTCCTCTCTCTCTCTGTCTCTCTCTCTCTCTCCCCCCTCTCTCCCTTCCTCTCTCTCCTCTCTCCTCTCTTCTCTCTCTCTCTCTCTCTCTCTTTCTTTCTCTCTCTCTCTCTCTCTCCCTCCCCGGTTTTCTTCTCCTGTTCAAGAGTTCCCAAAGGCCAAGGCAGTGGGTTGCTCTGGCTGCAGATTCAAGGCTGGTGACTGGGGCCCTCCAGGGGTGAGAAAAAAGGAAGAAGGTGGCATAATTTTTTGGAACAAAAGAAAACACAAAATCCTAGCTTGGGATTCCCAACAAACTCAGCCTTCTTTTCCAGGGGCCTCAGCCTGGGAAGTCACCAAGCAGATCCCTCCTTCCAGCTTCCTCCTCTTTCTCCTTTTTGCTTTCTTACCCCTGAAAGAGGGAAGGACGAGTCACCCCATCACTTCTGCTCTCACATCCCTTCCCTCCCTGGCTTTGGGAAGAGCTGCTGAGCTCTTTGCCTGCCACTCAGGGAGTGCAATTGTTCTTAAAGAGCCTCTTCTGCACAGAAAAATAATTGCAATTTTAATTAAAAAGCATTTATAGACAATTCATTTAATTTTAGTGACTATCTTGTTTTCCCTCCTTCCCTAGGGGCCTCCAGTAAGCTGCCTTGGTCCCTGGAGGCCCCCTGTGAGGCCTCTGGCTTCTAAATGGAGACTCACAGGCCTTGGAGAGGGCAGGTAGCCTCTATGCCAATAGCTGAGCCTGCCTGGGGAAAGGTAGAAGGAGGAACAGCTGGAGGAGGGGGGAGCTGAAAGGAATCTCATGCTCAGGTTTGCAAAAAGTAACAGCCAAGTTGTTTCAGAGCAGAAAAGAAAAAGGGAAAAAAACCTCTTAGCAAACGCATGTGAGTTTGGGGGACAGGTTCAAGACAGATGTGGGAAATTACTTGGGGAGCTAAGCAGGACACATGGTCATATCCACACTTGCAGTTGATCTAATCTTGAGCCAGAATGTATTCATAAGTAGCATTTAGCAACCCTTTATAGTTTACAAACAGCATTTTACACACACCATTCTACTATTCCTCATGGTGGCTTTGGGAGGTCCAGCTCCATTTTAAAGACTCATATACAGGACTGGAGCAAATAACTTGCTCGAAGCCACACAGCTGGTCAGAACCCAAGACTGTAAGCTCCCCCTAGGGCCAGAGACCTCTTATTTCAGTTTTTTTTCTCTCTTCCTCCTTTACCCTCTCCTTCCCTCTTCCCATTCTCCATTCCCCCCTTCCCCTCTCCTTTCTTCCTTTCCTTCTTTTTGTGCCCACAGTTTCTGGATCTTGGTACCTGAATTCTTTAGCTTATTTGCATCCACATGTGCTAATGTCCATTTCTATCCCTCTTTCAATTATCACAGCTGCTGAGGATTTACTTGGTGCCCTCACCAAGAAGTTTGAATGTCTCCCTCCTTCCTGTTTGTTTCTTTTCCTGCCACTGTCCCAACTCTTTCCCTCTACTTCTCTCTAGAATGACATCATTAAGCCCCTTACCCTCTTTGGTCTTACACATCCTCAAAAATATTTATCTTAAAATTGAGTTATAATTTCCATGTGCTAAACACCATACAGTAAAGTACACAAAGCTTAACTATACAAGCTGATGCATTTTTACACACACACACCTCTTTTTGAATCGCTCCAATGATACCCTTTTAACTTCTTCCCTTAAGCCGCATAAGCCATATGATGATACACAGTGTCTTTCTCCTGTTTGAAAAGAAATTGTGTCATATTGGTGGGCTGTTCATGCATAGAAAGCCTTTCTAAGAAGTCTTTTTAAGGTTTCACGAACGATTAAGAAATCATGTATCTCTTTTAACCCCCTGAAGTCCTGAGTTTAAGTGGCTTCAATAAATGGCTGATGAAAACTTAAAAACATACTAGGTCAGTGTTTCTTGGGATACAACTGAGGACCAGCTGCTTCAGAATCATCTGGGGACTGGCTAAAATGCCAGGTTCCTAAGCCCCAGTCCTATTTGAAGAATCAGAAACTGGGTTGGGGCTCAGGGACGTGTATTTTTAACAGGTTTCCAAAGTGATTCTTATCGAGACTAATATTTGAGAAGTACTGTAACAAATGGCAAACTCCCAAAACACCGCAGCCTTCTGCATCTGGCCCAGGGCCTGGCATTTGGTAGCAATACAATGAATGTTTGTTAAACAAATTAATCCACATTTTCTGACACAGTTTAGAATTTCTTGGACCACATTATGCTATTGTAATTTAACACCATTTCTACGTCAGGAAATCTTTACATTTCAGAGTGTTTTTCATTTTCATGGAGGTTTTATTTTAATGGAACTGGTTTCATTTTAATGCAGCAGGAGAGAAAAGAGAGATCTACTTCGGTGGTTTCTCAGGTCTCAAGGAAGGTCTTTTATAAACTCAATGGGGACCACCTTCCTGGACAGGCTGCTCTCTTACAAACCTGGTAGTCTGGGGAGAGGAGGAAGAGAGCCCTTCAGGTTTGCTGAAAGGTATTCAGATGCACACCCTTCTTAGTTGGAACTGAAAGTTTCTGTCTGAAGACACATTAAGAGTTCTGGAAGGAGCAAGACCACCAGGTCCAGAGAACTGGGCATGCAATGGACATGGAAGCTGAAAATTACTTGAGTATTCTCTGATTTATGACTAATATAAAACTAATTTTCTATCTAGAAACACATTCACCTATCTCCTTACCCTGAAACAGAAAATAAATATTGTGCTTTATGCGGTGGTGTTGTATCCATTTTAAAAAATAAATCACATCATATATATGTGCAAAATATATATAAACTTTT